AAAAAACATAAATTGCTCGGCAGTACCATACCCACCTGTTGGAGCAATTCTTGCTGCTTCCTCTTTTCTCCGAGTTCTAGATTCTCCTGTTCCGAGCAACAAATGTTATAAATTTTTGTTGTACGTTCAGTTTTGCAATCAACTATAATTGTAACTCAACGAGAGTAATTTTCAATTGAGTGTTGTCACACCAAAACCAATGTAATCACCCTATCCAGTCACAAAGGACACAGACAATTCAATGAACCAATCAACACCTGACGTAAATACACGTAGCTGACGCGAAGCGCGGGAAAACTTGTGTGAGCGAGTCACGATTGGTTTTGGTTTTAACTCTGACTGGAAAGAACAGGTGGCGTGAGTTTTAACGCCAATCGTGTAGCGTAGTAAATGCAAAACCAATTACTTTTTGCCCTAACAAGTCCAGTCTGCAGGGAGTCATATAGTTTCTACATAGTTTGCGTCCGTGGACGGCCCGCATAAAACATCAGGGCCACCTAGCTACCCACATGTCCAAATATTACAACAATCTTAAAATCTATCGAGATAAACATTATTTTTTATCAAGGGTATACAGAGAGCACGTGAAAATGACTTGTTTTTGACTGATCTTGAGGTTGAATTTCACAATTTCTCTTCAACTTGCAACTTACTGGAGATACGAAAGGTGTGTGTATCGTGATCAGGGGAACTAAGAAAAATGCGAGAATTTTGAGAAAGTTGCATTTGAACCCGTTACCTCTTCCATGCCTGCCAGTCTTGTTATAACCTTAAGCAAAAGGGAAAAAGAAAAATGGTTATATTTTAAACGAGTTCTAATCAGTCAGGAAATAAAATTTGATCGTGATCTTGAGACACGCGCAGTTTTCGTTACTGAAAAGCTGATTGGACAAGAACGATGTACCATTTTCTTCATGAATTAAAAGGGCACAATCTTCGTTGACTGAACCTTGGAAGTCCACATTGGTTTCAACTCCATACAGTGTCTTATACTGATACAATGTTGAATGTCCCATAACAACCACAAAAGTCCGAGTCAGGCTCGACTCGTAACGCTTATATGAATCAGTAATTAGTCAATTTATTGAAAACTGGATCATTGGATAACGCA